TCCATCCACTCCTAGAGCAAAGTTTATCACCAAAGCCATCAAAGTGGCTTAGATATCTTTCCTCAAGACCAGAGGTGTTTGATGATTTTTTAACATCAACCAATTCGTTTTGCTTCAGTGACACTGCGTATTCCTTTTATCTTCTTGGGTTGATTTCTGCAGAAATGTCCTGCCTTCCTACATTTCCTATCTATTCTTTCAAGCGGCTCTTGTCAGTTTAATGCTGTAGAGAAGTCTTGAAAGGGCACAGTGCTCAAGGCAGGCATTCTTTACTAGTTAAGCTACACTAGGGTTTGGTTTAAAGATGATCTCAGGACAATAGTTTCATAGGCTCTATAGTTAGTTATATATATTGCATTTACACTGTTTGGCATCTCTATCACACTACTTAATGTTCTCATTTTTCAAAGCTATGGTTTAGAGAGGACTAACCTAGTGGGTTGCAAGTTGGGCTGCCAACCACAAAGTCAGCAGTTCAAAGCTGCTAGTCACTTCTCAAGGGAAAGTTCTGTCTTCCCACTTTTGTAACGATTTATTGTCTTGGAAACCCACAGGGGCAGTTCCACTCTGTCCTACATCCTTTCTGTGAATAGATATTAACTCTAAGGCAGGGAGAGTGATAGTAATTATCTTGTTTCCAAGATGTCAGCACTTTCCATGTGGTCATGATGCTTATTGCTGAATCATTGGAGGGCTTTTATAAAAATGTCATGAATTTTTATTTTATAAGCACTGCGGTCATAAATAATGCTATTATTGGTTCTATTTTTAAAGCTGTTAAAGTTTTTGTGTTTCCTAAGATATGTCAGTTTATTTAAATTATATTGCCCTTAAAAAAAAAGATGTATTCTCTGTAGCCTGTTTCCAGAATCTCATGTATATTCACAAAATACAACTGGTTTCGTTTCTTAGGTAGTTTATAGGCATATTTATACTTTTTCCCTTAATTTTATTCCTATATCGAGGAGTCTCCTATGAGGGACGTGTTTGGGTCTATTTCTCCATGTATCTTGGGTAGTTTCTTCTCCATGAAAACGATTGCTCTGGCATTGAATGTGTGTCTAGTCATAGCTGTTAAATCTTTCTTGCAAGTTTTAACTTTATTGATTTGGGTGGGGGGGCAATTATGTTTTGGTTTGCGTTCCTGATATATACCCTAAGCAAGGATTCAATGCCAGTGCTTCATTTAAGAGGGGAAGAAAACACTAATAATGGAGTGGGACAGTGAGTAAGGGAACAGTATTGTCTAAGACTTGATTCTCTAGAGAGAGAAAAACTAATGAAGCTTATATGTGCATATACACAAAGAAATTTATAACCAGAAAATGGCTCATAAAGTAGTAGAAGGAGATGAATCCAAGTCCAGGCAGATTCCAAGTATGTTGGTTAGATTTTAGGCTAGAGGATTCTCCTGATTCTTGTAGCTGCAGAGGTTGACAAACACATGGATCAACAGGAAACAAGAAGCTGGGGACTGTGCAGGTGAATGAATCCAAGGTTAACAGATCAAATGGCAGGACACTGATGACTCCCAGGGTTAGCAGGCAATAAAGCAGCCTGTTGGCTGAAGTTCAAAGAACCAGCTCTCAGTGAGTCAGATGCAGGATACCAAGCAAGCTATTCCACAGCATCCACTTATATTTGAAGTAGGACACCTTTCAATCCATTGAATCAGGACTGTGACCTAAGTAAGGTGTCATGTCCCATCCTAATCTTACAACTTATTAACTACTTATAACTGATCCCATTAAGTTGAGGACAGCCAAATCACTGATTGATAACCCTGGCCCAGATATGTTGATGAAAAACATTAATAATAATAGGTAGAAAGTTAAGAAATTGTGTATTATAAAGCCAGTTATGTGACGAAGTAACCCCCCCCCAAAAAAAAAATGGAACTTTATTTCAAATCTATGTATTTAAATTTTTTTACAAACCAACTTTATCACCTTCAAAGTACTCTCCGTTACACTGAGTTCATTCATCAAATCTGCAATTCCATTCTTGGAAACATTTTTCAAACTTCCCTTTGGAGGGCTGACAGCACCTCCCTCATTTTTTTCTTCACCTTTTTAATGTCATCAAATAGCTATCCTTTCATGTCCCTCTTCATTCAAGGAAACAAAAAGAAGTGGCGCAGAGCAAGATCAGGTGAGTCAGATGCATAGGGCAAGAGATGCATGCTGGTTTTTGCCTAAAATAGGTGCACTGAGATGACTGCATGAGCAGGTGCATTGTTATGGTGGCAAAAGCAATCTCCTGTCTGCCACAAATCAGGTCTTCATTGTTGCACACTGTTACGCTATCTTTTCAGAACCTCTAACTAGAAAGCTTGATTAACAGTCTGACTTGGTGGAACAAACTCCAAATGCACTACAAGTTGACATTTTCTTCTGTTCAGGAAATTGACAAATGTCCAGAACGAGGTTTGCCAACATTTCACCTTTTTTGAAATGAGAAAACCACTCCCACACTTATGTTTTTCCCAAAGCACTGTCCTTGTAAACTGTGTTTGACATCACAACAGTTTCTGCAGCATTTTTCCCAAGCAGGAAACAAAGTTTCACAGCCATATGCTGTTCTCTTAAAACGGGGGCCATCTCACACACACAAAAAAGGTTTGAGCGAAACTGCTTTCATTAAAATATTCACTGTAACCAGAGAGTATCTTCCCAGGCAATGCCACTGGATGTACTAACTCGGAGTCAGTTGATGGATGCTTGCCTAGCGGAGAAAATGCATACTATGAAAGTTGCACCCAGTGGAGCATTTTTCTGGATTTTGGGGGGTATATATGGACAATTGAAGCTTTATAGCACTTAGAAACTTTACCCATCAGTATGATACATATGCCTTGACTTATAGTCTACAAAGGAAGAGAGCTCTGGGGTATTTAGATACCAATTCCTATAATTTACTGATTGAGAACTGCTACCAGAGGAGATTACCTCTCCAGCTCTCTAGTCTTTCACCGAAGTAACACAGAAGATTATAGATGCAAGAGAAAACCATAATGCAAAGAAACAAGGTCCTAGTACTAGTACTGGTGCTAATACGGGTGTACAGTGGGGTAGAATGGAGGTTTATGAGCCCTGGCACTAACAGTGATTGATCTAGATAACAAGGTCATACTTTCTTGCTATTATATTTGCCTGGTGTATCTTTGTTTATCATTTCATTTGCAATGTTCTGAGTGCCTTTATTTTAGTTGTGTGTCTTACAAACAGCACCGAGTTGAATTTTGATTTATTAGTTCTTTCCATTTTTTTTACCTTCAATACCATAGTGAATGATGTGAGGAGTGCGGAGTGGAGATCCAAAGCCCATTAGTAGGCCACTGGAGATCCCCTTGCAGAGGGGTCTCGGGGAAGAGATGAGCCAGTCAGGGTGCGATGTAACAATGATGAGAAATACAACCTTCCTCTAGTTCCTAAAGGTTTCCTCCCCGCTCCCACTACCATGACTCGAATTCAATCTTGCAAGTCTGGCTAGACCAGAGGAGGTACACTGGTACAGATAGGAACTCAAAATACAGGGAATCCAGGACGGATGAGCCCTATAGGACCAGTGGTGTGAGTGGCAAAACAGGGAGGGTAAAGGGAGAATGGGTAGGAAAGAGGGAACCGATTACATGGAACTGTGTGTGACCTCCTCCCTGGGGGACAGACAACCGAAAAGTGGGTGAAGGGAGACGTCGGACAGGGCAAGATATGACAAAATACCCATTTATAAACTATCAAGGGCTCATGCGGGAGGGGGGAGCGGGGAGGGAGGGGAAAAATGAGGACCTAATATCGGGGATTTAAGTGGAGAGAAAATGTTTTGAGAAACGATGTACAAATGCGCTTTACACAATGGATGTGTGTATGGATTGGGATAACAGTTGTATGAGCCCCTAATAAAATGTTAAAAAAAATATGTGAGTTAAGTCGTTTTATTTATTAAAGAACAATCTAGTTGTATTTATTCTGATTGATCTGTTTGCTCTTCTGGCAACATTCAATATTCTTTGCCAACACCAAGTTCAAATGTATAAATTCTTCTGTCTTCCTTTGTCATTGCCCAGCTATGCATATGAGGTGATTAAAAAGACATAGCTTAAAGCAGGCATGACTTGTAATCAAAGTAATGTCTTTGGCTTTTTCAGAATTTAACGAGGTCTTTTCCAACAGATTTTCCCAAGGTAATATGTCATTTGATTCATTGACTACTGCAAATTGTTTTTCTTTTTAAATGTTCTTTGAGTTTGAAGAACAAAAAGAAGCCTGAAAGAGTAAAATCAGGACGGCAAGGTAGATTGGGTAAAGTGAGTAGGTGCATTGTCATGATAAATATTGTTTTTAATTCTCAGCATTATTCTACTGCTTTTTTCTCACCAATGTAGTTCACAGTGTTAGTAAAGTTTCTTCCTATAGTGTTATTAAAGGTTGAGCAATCTTATGTGCAGCAGAATTAAGCACCACCTGGCCATGCACCATTCTCACAACCATTATCATGTTTCAGCCTGGTGTTAAAGTCACTGGGTCAACCCACCTTTTCTACACAGTCCTCTTTATCAAACATGATGTCCTTTTCCAAGGTCACCCTTATGTCTGTGGAGCAGACATATAACTGTACTTCTTCCAAGATCCATTTGTTGTTTCTTCTGACAGTCTATAGTACTTCTAATATTCTTTGCCAATGCCATAATTTAAATGCATCAAATCTCTTCCCATTTCCCTTACTCATTGTCCAACATTCACATGCATATAGGCTATTGAAAATAGCATACCTTCTTCCTCAAAGTGACATCCTTGCTATCAACACTTTAAAGAAGTCTTGCACAGCATATTTGCCCACTGTGATCCATCACTTTATTTCTTAACTGTGGCTTCCATAAGCACTGATTATTGATTCAAGCAAATGAAATCCTTTACAACTTTGATCTTTATCTATTTATCATGACATTGTCTACTGGTCCAGCTTTCAGGATTCTTGTTTTCTTGCTATTCGCCATGTAGATTGCAGTCTTTGAATTTCATCAGCAAGTACTTCAAGTTGTCCTCACTTTTAGCAGGTAAGGTTGCGTCTTCTGTGTACGGCAGACTATTAATAAGTTCTTTTTCCAATCCTATTGGTTTGTTCTTTTTCAGATAGGCCATCTGAACCAACTCTTCTGTCTTGAATTTAACTAGCAAATCAAACATCCTCATAAGCCATTGTTTTGATTGTACTTTTGTTTTTTTAGGGACCCCCTAACAAGTCTAAGACAAGTCCACTACTGAAAAATTATCTCCATTCATCACCTAACACAGAGACATGTTGAACATGCTTTACAAAATGAACCTGGGATTATGAAACTGGCATTCGTTGGATGTGGATTTGGATCCTTCACTTTGAGGATGCCCCACGAATGTTGCTCCTGTAATACCATATATTTACTATTTTAATGTCCTCCTTGATTTCTTACGACATGTATTAGTCTAGTAGGCATGGTTCTGCCTTTTTAATTAATGTTATTGAAAGTTTTGCCTTATCACCAACTCCCATTGTTTGAGTAAATAGTGTCCAGTCACAAGAGCTTAACCTGTACAAGTCAACAATGCCTGTATTGTAGTCTGACAAACTGGCCTATACTTGTATAATTGTATAATTATACTTGTATAATTTCCTTTTTTAACAGGGTTTTTAATTCTATACCACTGGCTAAATTAATGATCCTATCAATAGAATTACCTTATGCCCTAGGGGGATGATTTATGAAGTTCCCTATCATAAAATTATAATGATATCCCTAAAGTGAACCAGAGATATATATAAACCATAGATATGTGAATGGATTTTGGATTGCACTTAGTTCTAGCCCTATCTAAGAACAATTAGTTCTTATGACACGGCCCTGCACAAAGTTCACCCTCATAAAGAGATCACTGAAGCTGTAGATGCCATAGAAAGTGTGGTTAAAAAATCAGACGGTGCCTGGCTATTAGAAAGAACAGCATCTGAGATCTCAAAGACTTGTCTTCAAACAAGCAGCCATTTAAATAGGGCATCAACTTAGTCCACATGGAAGAAGTACATCAGTCTGTGTGTTCCAAGGATTGTAAATAATAAAATCCAAATCCCAAGTAGGGAATGGTATCAGAGCTTAAATTGTGAACACCAGTTTGCAGAAGGCTATTGGTGACAGTGGAAGCCCAAAATCCATTTGCAGGACTCCCACATGGATTAAGTCTCTAATGAAGCCCCTCTGGACATAGTGGAGGGATGTGAATAGCCTTGATACCAGACAGAAAGCATTATAAACTCAATTATGGTAGATGTAGTTAGATTAAAATGTAGTAATACTTTATCATTTGATCTCCCTTTTGATCCATTTTTAAATTTTCAGTTTTTTCTGCTTTATCTTTGATTTAAGATTTTTGTAAGTTTTGTTTAGTCATTTTTGTTGCGGTCTTTTGCTGGTTTAAATGCTTCTTGTTTGTATTTTGTATGATTTTCTGTATATGAAATCCAGGACAGGTAGATCCATAGAGACAATAACTGGATAGGAGCATGGCAGGGGAAAACAGGGGGAAATAGGGATCTAAAACAAGAAGTATCAGAAGAAATGTTCTGAAATTGATTGGGATAATGGTTGCACAAAGCTTCTTAATATGAATGCATGGTTAAGTTGTATGAAATGTGAAATATATGCCAATAAAACTATAAAACTATTAAATAAATTTAAACCTGTGTATGCATTACCTGTAATCCAAGTAGCAATGACTTACCCTCATACTTTTTAAATTAACCACACAGATCATCAACTTATTTTTTACTAAGGTACAAAAGCAACTTAATGAAGGAAAGATAGTCTTTTCAATGAGAAGAGTTACAAAATAGGATATTCATGTATTAAAAGGGATGTTGATAACATAAGCCCTATTTTGAATAATATGAACAAAATAGATAATAGACTAAAATCTAACACTTTAACCTATAAAACTTCTTGATGAAACAGGAGAAAAATGTTATAACATGGACTAGGTAAATATTTCTTAGATTTGATACCAAAAGTTGGATCTTCCAAAGGAAAAAAATGTTTAATTGGTAGATCAAATGGTATTTTGATTTTTACCTTTTAAAGAATACCTCTAGCCCTTTTCCACAGCAGTTGTACACCATTTTACATTCCCACTAGTTGCATATGAGAGTTGCAATAATTTGCCTTAGCTACCCTGTGATGAAGAGCACATTTCTGCATCTCTTGTGACATTCACTCTGAGCCTTCCTTTTTCTTATAGATTTTTTAATTTATTCATTTATTTATTTATGATTCTTTTAAGCATGTATTTATTATTCTTTATTCTTAAGTTCCTTATTCTTCCTTATTCAATTTTCAACTTTCACTTGCATATGAGGCTATTTTAATATTTTCAAATATCGTGAGTTGAGTCAAGCTTACCTTAGTAACTATAGTAACATACTTGCTTTTAAACACATTACAGATGATTTTTTAAAAATCATTTTATTGGAGGCTCATACAGCTCTTATCACAATCCGTTATCTCAAGCACATTTGTACATATGTAGCCATCATCATTTTCAAAGCATTTTCTTTCTACTTGAGCCCTTGTTATCAGCTCCTCGTTTTTCCCCTCCCTCCCCCTCTCCCACCTTCATGAACCCTTGATAATTTATAAATTATTATTTTTTCATGTCTTGCACTGTCCGATGTTTCCCTTTACAGTCTTGTCTGTTGTCCATCCCCCTGGGAAGGGGTTATAGGTAGGTCATTGTGATCTGTTCCTCCTTTCACCCCCCACCTTCCCCTTACCCTCCTAGTATGGTTACTCTCAATATTGGTCCAGAGGAGTTTATCTGTCCTATATTCCGTGTTTCCAGCTCTTATCTGTACCAGTGTACATTCTCTGATCTAGACAGATTTGTAAGGTAGAATTAAGGTCATGATAGTGGGGGGGGGAGCATTAAAGAACCAGACGAAAGCTATATGTTTCATCCATGCTATGCTGTTAGTAGGTTCATAGACTTTTAAGATAGTTATACCTTCTTGATGAACTGACTCTTTTATTATTATAAATCATCTTCTTTGTTCCTATAAATATTCTTTGCTCTGAAATCTACTTTGACTAGATAACTCAGTTTGGGTTTTTGTTTTGTATTAGTGTTGCATACTAAAACTTTTTTAAAAATTTAACCTATTTAAATTTTTATTTGAAATGAATTATTTGTAGCAGTATATAATTAAATCTTTTATGTGGTTATTTTTAGTTTTTATGTTCTGTTTTGGCTTTTTGTTTTGTATTCTGTTATTTAATTGAAGAATTTAGCATATGTATATTGCCAATGACTGTGGATGGGGCTAAATCTGCATCTACCATTCTATTATTTGTTTTCTATTTGTTCTATCTGTGCTTTGTTACTTTTTTCTACTGTTTGGATTGATAGGTAGTGTAATGTTATTTTTATAATCTTATGTTATTTCTCTGATTCATTAGCTATAGCTTTTTTTCCTTTTATATTAGTGGTTGCTTCAGGGTTTGTAATATACATGTTAAACTTTCCATAGTATATATTTAATAAATATTATACTTCTTTAAATGTAGTCTAAAATTAAAGTAATATACTTATCTTTCTCCCCTCCCATCCTTTGTACTATTGCTGTCAGACATTTTACTTTAATATATAGTATATAAACCCCCTATCATACTTTTATAATTTTTTGTTCAAATGGTCAATTATCGTTTCAAGATTTGACTCATAAGAATAATATCTTATTTACTTACCCCACATAGTTACCATTGCAGAATTTTCCATTCCTTCATATAGGTCTGTATTTTCATTGAATATTAATCTTTTTCTGTCTAAAGGACCTTTTAAAATATTTATCCTACTGGGGAGTTTCTGCTTGTGATAAATTCTTTCAGCTTTTATATGTCTGAAAAGTCTTCATTTTATTATAATTTTGAAGGACAATTTCACTGGATGTAAAAAATCTAAGTCTTTTTACCCAAAACCTTAAAAATATTGCTCCATTGTCATCTCATTTGCATAATTTCTGATGAGAAATCTACTATTACCCATACTTTTGGTCCTGTGTACATAATGTTCCCCTGCCCTGCTTGCATATAAGCTGTCTATGTAACATTGGTTTCAAGCAATTTGATATTAATATGCCTGGACATTGATTTCCTTTATGTTACAATAAATGAATCTTCACACACCAACACTGTGGAAATTTCAAATATAATTATTCTGTTCCAAACTATGAGAATATAACAAATTCCCATTTTCTATTTCCCTGTTTAGTTCTGACATCAGATGTATTAAAACAAAAGAATACAAATCAAGATCAACATAAGGAGAGCGAGACACCTGGAGTGAAGTCTGAGAGGGTTCCCTATGAGTAGGTTCGATGACCCATAAACATATGCTACTCTTCAATATTGATTTCTTTCACTAATCAAGAAGCTCTTGCAATATTCTTGCCCAGAGCTTTCATTAGCTTCATAGCAGAGTCAAGAATGAGGCCTCATTGTTTAGACATAATTGGGGCCTCATTGACTAAGCATGGTTAATTAAATTATGCCCTGATCCCTTCCTGCAATTAGCTGGCAAAATAGTCTTTGTTGCCTATCCAGCTCCCACTCATTTGCATAAATACTCAAGTATCAACTGAAGTTTTAAGATAATAAAGACACCTCAGTTGACCAAGAAAGTTCAAGGGTTATCTTGACAAGGAACATATTGAATTACTTGTCTCACTATGTTGTTTTTTGGGGTTATTTTTGTGCTATGTATTCCTTAAGCTTCTCGAATCTAAGTTCATAATTTTCACCAAATTGGGAAATTTCTGGCCATTATTTCTTTAAATGTTATTTTCCTGTCACCATTCTATTTTGTTCCCAGGATTACAATTATGTAATGAAGAACCATTAGGACAAATAGGACAAATTAAACTACCCCAGAATTCACTCAGGCTATATTCATTGTTCAGTCATTCTTTTTTCTCTGTTTTATTTTTCATAGTTGCTATTGGTATATTTTCAATTCACTATTTATTTCTTACAATGCC